CATTCATACTCATTTACCAATACATAGTTCATATCAGAGGATCTCTCTATTGCTGCATCTTGCATCGACGGTCGTAATCACAGTTCCATTTATGTAGATTCTTTTGCAAAAAACCATACAATCTTTCCTCTCCATATATCTAGTAGTTTCAGAAAACGACCAGGATACCTCAAAGACTATTATTGTCAGCAAGTTTTTGTGTCTCATTCTTCTTAAGCAGTCACCATAGGCTCCAAACAATCTGGTCATCTTTATTCTCTGTCCTCCTTTTTTGTCCTATGACAAGCTTTCACATGAGACTATATTGTTTGCTACATCAATCTTAAATCATTGAGTCTGACACATATCATCAAGCTGTTAAATCTTTAAAGTGACGTAAAGCCATGGATATTGAAATTGTAGCTTTGTAATACAACACTACTAATCACATATTTACTGTTTATAAAGGAGCCTATTGGCCAAAGTGGCTCAAAGATGGGACTGTGGAGAGGTATAAAACTTGTTTAGTAGTAAACGGTTACATTCAACAAGAAGTTCTTGATTACCATAAGACTATTTCTCCTGCTGTCAAGCTTGGAACAGTTAAAATTCTACTAGCAGTAGTTGCAATCAAGGGTTGGTTTTTGCATCAATTTGATGGAACATTGCATTTTTAAATGGAGAATGAGAGGAAGAGGTTTAAATGCAGTTACCTCCATGATATTTTGTTAAAGAACAAGCCAAATTTTGCAAGTTGAAGAAAAGTTTGTATGACCTTAAACAAGCCTCTAGACAATTATATACCAAATTTTCCTTATCCTTGATTGATTCTGTTCACAGAGAGGACATAAACTTCTTTCATGGCCTTGTTAGTTTATGTTGATGATATCATTGTTGTCTCAAATGATATCCGTGTTGTTTCTCAACTCAAGGAGTTCTTAAACAATCAGTTCAAAATCAAGGATCTCTTAAGTATTTTCTTAGCTAGGAAGTAGCCAGAAACTCTCATGGAATTTAGATACGTCAACAAAAGTGAGCTTTTGATACTCTCACAAACTCTGGATTGATTAGATGCAAGCCTAACAAAAAACCTATGGATCAGAGTTTTAAATCTCAAAAGATGATGGTGAACTTTTGAATGATCCAACCTTGTACAAAAGAATCATTGGAAGATTTCTCTATTTAACCATTACTCGGCCATACAATTCTTATTCAGTTAATCTACTAAGTCAATTCATGGCAACTGTAAGGGGTAGAACCCTCCACTCAGGATTTCGGCTTGACCTGGGTTAACCCACGCGGGCGACCCCCCAGTAGCCTTTACCTCTCTTCGCCAATAGGACCCTTTCCTAAGGCAATCCCACATCGGAAGAGAGTCGTCTTCCCCCCTCGCATATAAGCCCTTGCACTCAAAGGAGGAGGTACCCACTAGGCACCTGATCAGGTCGCTAGTGGGTACCTCCTCCTTTGAGTGCAAGGGCTTATATGCGAGGGGGGAAGACGACTCTCTTCCGATGTGGGATTGCCTTAGGAAAGAGTCCTATTGGCGAAGAGAGGTAAAGGCTACTGGGGGGTCGCCCGCGTGGGTTAACCCAGGTCAAGCCGAAATCCTGAGTGGAGGGTTCTACCCCTTACAGCAACACCTCACTTACTCATCTCAATGTTGTGTACAAAATACTCAAGTACATTAAAAAGATCCCATGCTCAGAGTTTTTTCTTCTACAACTTGCAAATCACAACTTATTGCGATTCTAACTGGGCATATGTCCTAATACCAGAAGATCTACAACTGGCTATTGTGTTTTTCTTGGCCAGTTTCTTGTTTCATGGAAATCCAAGAAAGCAAATCACAGTCTCAAGAAGTTTAGCTGAGTAGAATATTGCTCAATGGCTGCAACATGTTGTGAATTCACTTGGATTAGGTACCTACTTATTGATTTGTCCATTCCCCATGACTAACCTCACATTCTCCATTGTGATGACCAATCAACTCTCCACATCACAGCCAATCCTGTTTTTCATGAAATAACAAAGCGCATTGAATTAGATTGTCATCTAATCCGACAGAAAATCCAAGAAGGAAAGATTTCCATTGCTTACATACCCTCATATTCTTAATTAGCTGACATATTCACCTAGGCTTTACTACCCTCTCTTTTTCATTCTCTTATTCCCAAGATGGCAGTATGCAATATATACTCTCCATATTGCGGGGAAACATCAAAATCTGCAACAACTTTAGCTCCAAGGTAGCCAGCTCAACAAACCAAGTCAACAAAACAAGATCCAAGCTCAGTAGAAGGACTCACACAGGGATGAGCTGGGAGTTTGTTAGCAGTTTTTCTTTCGTGTATATAACACTCGGATAATTAGTTTTAGTTTGTAATTTCTTGGACACTACTCTTGTAACTAGTATATATAGATGCATATAAATTTGTAAATAGGTAATACTTTCTGAAAGAATAAAGTAAAATTCTTCATTCTTCTCTTCTCCGTTGTTCTCTGCTCTCTGTTTTCTCCCGAAAATATTATTTGGACCTAATTTGGGGACTTAATATAAGGACGTAATTCAATTCAACCATTGGATTGATTGTGAGCTTTATTTAACATTGGAACTCACAATTAATCCAATGGTTATATTGAAGTCGCATCATTAGGTCTCCAAATAAGATCCCTGTAACATTGCTCGTTTTCTGCTCATAGAAAATTCAACAAATATATATGCTCACATGCACTCCTAAAATTAATATTTAATAAATAATTATTTTATAAAAAATATATGAAGTAATACAATATTTAACCAATGAATCGGAGTTTTATTTATTCTGAATTTGACCACCAGTCATGACTTTATCAACATTGAAAGATTTAAACCACATATTTTAACAATGTTGATATATGACTCTTCGTCATGGTAACACTCAAATTGGATTCGATGCAACCCTTCGATGCCTAAGTCATTTGGCCGGTATTTCTCACTTGCACGTTTATTGTTCGGACTCTCCCGACACTATTGCCAAGTGACATCATTTCACTAGACATGCAAATTAAGCATCAATGTTTTTTATTTTTTTATAAACAACAATGTTACATTCACTAAGTTTTTTTATCAAATTTTAATTTTCAAATCAATATAAACCATAGGATCAATAGATCCCATAAACTATTGAATGACTATCATTATACCACATCGCTTGGAATTCAAAAACTTGGAATTCTTTTCTTGAGAAAGAATATCCTTCCCCAATGTGCACATCCATAATATACTTAAGGGTGAATTATAATTCATACCCATAAAGTTTACATTTGATTTTTATTTGGTCCCTCAACAATCAATTATAACAATTAAGTCCTTAAACTTGTGAACTTGTTTCAATCAACTCTCCTTGTCAAAATTTATCAGTAATCATGACGAAAAAACATCACGTGAACACTACGTGAATATTGACCAAGAAAAATATTATGTGTCTCATTCACTCACATAATTTTGACCAAATAAACATAAACACGAGTGAAATCCAAAAAAGATGAGCAATACGTTCAATTAAAATACTCAAATTTAATATCAAATGAGTCAACAAATGTATTTTTAATGCATAAACACTAACTTTAGAGTCACCTTATTTAAAATTAATCTCATAATTGAGTCACGTTGTGCTCATGCGACAATTTTTCTTTAGAATTATTGACGTATTTAAACAAGAGGACTTAATTAAAGCATAACTTAAAATTTAAGGACTTGATTGTTTTAATTTATAATTTAGGGACCAAATAATAATAAGGTAGTTGTATATTTTTATTAGGTTAAGCAATAAGTATCTTAGGTTATAAAGATGCTAATAAGCATTCTAACAATGATACTACCAAAAAGTGTTTTGTTGCTTTTCAAAAAGGCAGAAAAAAAAAAAGATTAAAGCTCTGAATATATATATATATATACAAAAATAGGTGCAACATGACCGAATTAGCCCAGGCCCTATCTGAAATATTCACTACTGCTCAGTTAGGGAAAATGTTTAGCGACGCGATAGATCATAGTTATTGAATTGAATTTTTATGGAACAAAAAAAAATTATAACCCAATTTACATTCAGACAATACTCAAGTTGGATCTTCAATTTTTGAGACACAACAAAAATATAAGTTCAACTTAAAATAAATTGAAAAATGTAACCCAAGAATCAAACCCGAATTGTACTTGTTTTCAACCCCAATTGAGCTTGAATTTCTACAAATAAATTGAATCCAAATTCAATTCAAATTGAATCTTAATGTTGATAAAAAAAAATGGGCAACCCATTTTTCACTCGAGTTTAAGAAAAAAAATTAAGTGTCTGATTTAGTGTTTAAATTGGAGTATTTTGATTTGAATTTTAGGTTGAGTTAAACTTTTTTTTTTGTCGGACAGAAGGGAGAGAGACAATGAAGTTGAAACTTGCAACCTTAACCTCCAATGGTGGGGACGATGATCATTTGGTTAATCGTTAATTTAAATTGAATTCTGACAAAAAAAAATATGTAAGTTGTGGAAGTAAAAGTGGAAAAGGGTAAATTACATTTATACGCCTTAAACTATCACATTTTTTTTTATTTTATCCTTTCAACTATCAAAGTTTTTATATTATACCCTAAACTATTATTTTTGTTTCACATTGCCCCAATCAATGACTGTCGTCACACATTTAATGGGAACACTACCATGTGTCCATCACGTGGCAAGAAAATAAAGGGCAAACCAAAAAATTCATACCCTAACAAACAGACAAGCCCATAAAGCACGTGAATTTTTGTGCCAAAATCAAAATCGTGTTCTTAAAGAAAGGAGATTTGCAGAAATTGAGGAGTCTAATAGTGTTCAGTCGCATAGATTATGGTAAAATCTTGGGGCAATGTAGAACATAAATGTTAATTTTGGGTATAATATGAGAAATCTGGTAGTTGAGGGGGCAAATTTGAAAAAGTGTGATAGTTGGCCCCATGAATTACCTGCCCGTTTTTCTCTCTGCCAAACCCAAGCTCGCTTTCCAGTTTGCTTCTGTTATCCACTCACTGACCAATAACTTCTCGACCATAGAGAGAGAGAGAGAGAGCAACTGAGCTAAAGCACAGCCTCCTGATCCTTCGTTTATCTACACTGCATCAATGGCTTGCACAGCCGCTTCAACAGCTCTCCTCTCGTCTTCCTCATCAAACCCTAGGGCTTACATTTCTCCTAAATCCACCGTTCCAAGACTCTTCTCTCAAACCCTGGCCATCCCCAACTCCTTCAATGGCCTCCGCAAACCCTTCCGATCACAGGTCCGTCGTTCCATCTCGGCCCGCCCCTCTCACTCCCGTCGCAACCTTGTCGTCAGAGCTGTAAGTAATTTTACATTTCATATCTAGCTGGGTTTGCGTGTGTCATTCTAAAGTTTTTGGTGTAATGTTACTGTTGACTTTAATGCTGATAAAAAAAATCAAAACTATTGTCGAATTTATTCTCTTTTTCTGCGGTGGGGTTTGTGATTTTGAGGGAACAAGTTTTTGGGTCCTGAAGAATAAGTGCTGTCATGTAATTGGTGATTTTATTTTTAACGAAGAATAAAAAATGTGGATCAAATTATCATGTCATGCAGTTTAAATTTCCTATTAATCCAGTGGCTTATGTTTCTCAATTAGTTGAAGTTTATCTCTATTGGGTTCTTGTTCCTGTTGTGATTATCTCATATTTGAGTTATTACATGTCTTTTTGTCATTACATTGCTTACAAAAGAGATAGAGAAAGCATTTTTCAGTTGGAGATGTTGCTTGTCAGGTATTGTTGTGTTGCACATAATTACTGTTATTTGTCATGTGTTTTTGTTGTCTTGAATGAATAAATTTCTCAAATTAGACAATGCAGTGCACCATTTTCTCTTTGATTCTTAAGTAATTAAATTTATTGAGTAGGATTGTGCTACCAGAAACAGCCTGTAAGTTCAGCAAGTGAGGATGAATAAGTCAGTAAAATTAAGATTGCAATGGGTGAAAATTGAAGTGGAGATAAAATTTGAAATATTGCATCGGCAACACCATAAAAATGACAAATTCTGGTGCTCTTATACTATCTGCAAACCTTCTTTAGAATATGCATGTTGACCATATGATTATTTTGAAGTTTATGATGTGTGAATATCTCCCTGCACAGGGTGAACTCCCACTAGTGGGAAATCTGGCACCAGACTTCGAGGCAGAGGCTGTTTTTGATCAGGAGTTCATCAAGGTAATATAGGGAAGAATAGTAATATCAACACTTGGTGGTTTATTTATGTTGTCGGTTGTCCCCTATGAGTACCGTGCACTTCTAAGTTTAGCTAATTTTTATTTTGAAATTTAGGTGCATTCACTCTGTTCTGGATGATTTAAATTAACCTAAGTCAGTGTCCATGCCTTTAGTAGTTTATGGTTGTGTAACTTTATGCATTGATGGATCAGCAGAAAACTCAGCTGTTTTAATACTTCATTCTACACTTGGGGAAGATATGAAGAGTCTTAAGAGCGAAGGCCAATACCATCTAAAATTGTGGACCTAGTGCATAGTTCATTTGCCAATTCAATGAACATATTGGGGCTAGTTGCCTGGCAATAGTATTTCTCTCTACTGAATGATGTGTGCATTTGTCAACTGTACTGCACTATTATAGGGGTTTTTTGGGGGTGGGGGAGATATGGGGAAGAATGGGGAGCAAGCTCAGATGTAATACTGGACTGTTTATTGCATTTGACTCTTCGAAATCTTACTATTGTGTTTGAAAAAACTAGGCATGCTTGGTTGGGAGCTCCACATAATTAGCACTCATGTTCGTTAGTACTGCTTTTTAGTTTGTATTCCTAACTTGGGTTTTTTTTTTGGGCAGGTTAAACTTTCTGAATATATTGGGAAGAAATACGTGATACTCTTTTTCTATCCTCTGGATTTCACATTTGTCTGCCCCACAGGTGAGTCTAATAATGATTGATTATATATTTCTGATTTATAATCTTCATTAAATGAAATCAATATAATTGAAATATTCATATTTCTTGTTGCTAATATTTTCATTTATTCCTTTTCCTTTTTTCTTAAATAGAGATCACTGCTTTCAGTGACCGGTATGCAGATTTTGAGAAGTTAAACACCGAGATATTGGGTGTTTCAATCGACAGTGTGGTGAGTGCTTTTCTATTAATCCATCTAGAACATAGTCATTATAATCTTTAATTCTCGTTCTTCTTTCTGTATTTGATCATCATTTCGATCTGTTAATATGTTAGAGGCAAACAGAATACGTCTAAGTTTGCTCACAGAAACAATTATAGGACTTACGTGCAGTGATGGTCTCCATGCTTAATCAGTAATAGCACTCGACCTTTACTCTATTTTTAATTCCATGGGCCTGAAGATGTCTAACACCGATGTAACCACAGGTGTTGTCCACAACTGACATTATATTGGCACCAATCTTTCCCTTATTGGATACAAATGCCATGAAATACCGCCTTCTTAGCATGAGCTGTGCTTTGTTCTGTTCTACTCCTTTCCTCCCTGTTGTTTCTTGCTATATTCTCTCAATTATCTGGTTATTTCTTATGTGTCAGATTCAAAAATTATTAGCTTAGTTGGTGTGCTTTGTGGACACAGTTTTGCTTAGATATGGAGATGCCCTGAGCAGGATCTCTTTTGTTGGATTGCAATTGTTAATGAGCAGACATGATGGGAATCTCTAGATTTATTTCTACAGGCATACTTTGGCCTTCAGATGGAGAAGAGTGTATCAGGCTGAGAAATTTCAGTATAATTTGTGGATTACTTAGCATTTTTGGTCAAAAATCATTAGGCTTGCTGCTGATCTCCAAATATGTTCCTAGTATAATAGGAGTCCTCAATCAATTTGTGGTCTTTATATGACTAATAATATTCACCCTATCTCTATAGGCTTTAACTGAATATTTTATAAATTGAATCGCCTTTGATATGGATGCCTTGGTGATTTGATTACTTGTAGCTTTCACTAGGTTTGTTATTTATATAATTTGGTTACTCATGTTTGAAATTCAAATTTATTTGTTCCTTGGGATCATTTTAATGTTCATTGTTCATGTAGTTCTCCCACCTTGCATGGGTGCAAACAGATAGGAAGTCTGGAGGACTTGGTGATTTGAAGTATCCATTGGTTTCAGATGTGACAAAATCTATTTCAAAATCTTATGATGTGCTAATACCAGATCAGGTATATTATGTTTCATTATTTACTACTTTATTTGTCCTGGAACAGCTCTCTAATCTTGCTAAGGAATTATGCTGGGTGGAGAGTTATGATGGAATACTAGTGCTAGATGGAGTTCTAGAATATGTTGCAAGGATTGGGTTCTAAATTCATCGGTTAGGATGATGGATATCATGAATGTAAGAGAGTAGTGCTTATGACCCTGACCATTTGGGACTACATGTCCTCAAGGGGTCTGAAAAAGATTCAACGTGTTGTGCTGCTGGCAAGCAGGTGAAAGGCTGCATGCATGGTAATACATTTCACAAGCGAATATCGTTGTCAACACCAAGAAACTATTTTTTGAAATTAATTAACATGGATAATTATGAAGATCATGTTTCTTGAGTATATATAAGCTTCTGGTGTTGTCCATAAATGTGGAATTGCTTTTTCCTTTTCTCCCATTGTGTGTGCATGTAATACACTGAACAGGAATGGTTGCATGCTTAATGAACCATTAATTGTTTTTTGAATACTGTTTAAATGGTTCTGCTTGTGTAGGGGAGGCATCAGTTCATGGATAGTTTCATTTCTGTTTGATGTTCAACAATTGTTCTAGTGCATTATAGTCAAATTGCATTGTAATGTTGGTATTATTTTTCTACCGACAATGCTGCATGGAAACATAAAACATTTTATTAAATAATCAGTCTATTGAAGGAGGGACACTTGCTTAACTCCCAAAAGTGTGCACCCAGGAATGTGTGCACATGTACTATCGCTATGTGTATGAAAAACAGCTATATTCCAGCAATTCCATTGAGGGTCACGGTTGATAAGTTATTCACTGTGTTAATTTACTCATACTACGTTGGAAAAAGCATACAGCAACAAATTCTTATCGAACTATGTCTTAATTAAGCTTTGGTTGTTTATCCTACTAATCATTTTTGAGTTACTAAAGGATCAAAACTTATTGTTATTCTAGTTTTGTCATTCTAGATAAGATGATATGATTGGAGCCCTTCCCTTTTTGTTAATTTTTTCTTCATTATTTGCATCATCGGTGCCATAATGATCAGTAGCCATTTTGACTGAATGCTGATGTCCATGTATCAGGGAATTGCATTAAGGGGACTTTTCATCATTGACAAGGAAGGAATTATTCAGCACTCGACCATTAACAATCTTGCAATTGGCCGCAGTGTTGATGAGACAATGAGAACACTTCAGGTAATTATGTTTGATTAAAAAGGGACATAATTTGGGTCTTCTAAGGCATTTGCCTTTCTAATGGTTAAAGCATTAATTATTTGGTTTATGATACTTTTTCGCCCTGTATCGATCTTGTAGGCATTGCAATATGTACAAGAGAACCCAGATGAGGTATGTCCAGCTGGATGGAAGCCTGGAGAGAAGTCCATGAAACCAGATCCTAAGCTCAGCAAGGAATACTTTTCGGCAATATGAAGGTTCTATTTGTCGTTCCGATAGGAGGTTGTAGAGAGTTTTGTTTTTGTGTAACATTTTATCAAACTTATTTTTGAGTTTTGATAAGCAGTTTCTGGGAATAAATGAATCGAATCATATGTGCCCTGTATGAATTTTATTTCTTCTCTGAATGTATGGGTACGTTATTTCAAAATCAGTTTTAAGGGTTATAGTTTTTATCCATTTCATTGATAACCTGCTACAGCTTAGTAACTAAGTAGCAGGGACTTCATATTTCTCGAAGAACATAAACCAGCAAGAAAGGTATGAACTATAGTTTCGAGTGATGGCCAATTCGGAGTGCATATAGGAGAGCGCTGGAACTGTGCATATCGGAGAGTGTTGGAACTTGACTATCGAAGGAACAGTTTGATTCTCTAAACAAGCAGGTTTTGGTATTGGATTCCTTCCTCCCAATTTCAGATTCAAATCGTCGAATTGATCTGCTTATAGAATATCCTTTAGAACGTACCTTCCTAGTTATCGTAACAAGAACAAGGAAACTCTTTATCTTTTCTAATCTGCTTGCTGTCTCAGTTTGGCTGTAAGCCTTTTGTTTCAAGTGTTGTGTACTATAATGATTCAAAGCCCGGCCTTCAATCGAAAACCGGAATTGCGGATAAGGGAATAAAAACTCTCTTGGATCCTAAAGAGCTTTGGTTTACGATAAATTACAGATCTTAGGCATTTGATTTTGTGGAACATATTCCTGTAGGTAACTTCATCGTTTTGTGGAACTTATTTTTGATGTACATTTTTTTTTTTGAGATTGCTAGTGAATTTGGGAGTGGAACTGTCTTTGTGAAGCAGGTTGTTGTTGCTGGTTTGTGACAGCTTGGACGTTGTTCCATTTTTCCCTATGTCTCCTTTGGTTGCCTTGAAGTTTCTAGGAAACAAGGAGGGTCTGGATAATAGACATCCCCGATAGTTTTGGATACGGTGGTAAAAGTCCCGAATTGAGGGAAATTCAGGCACTATTATAAGAGAGGGAGACGACAAAGTTTGAACTCGCGACCTCAAGATTCAACAGCAGGGGCAGTGATCATTAGACTAATCGCTAACCTCACTCTTGATGTATATGAGAAAAATATATATTCACATTAAGTTAGAATAATTTTTACGTTTTATAATCTTTACTGTTATTTATAGAGAAATCAATGATAGTAGGCACACCATGTGAACAATAAAAGTATTTTGCCTTGTGTAGACACTCAAAATTGGATGGTAGCGCTGTCTTATTCAAGAGATTATTCATTTCAAGTGTGTAATTTTTTTTTTAGGATAAAAAATGAAACACGTAATCAATAATTGTAAATCCAAATCCACCTACCACCTTAAAAAAAAAGGCATAACCTATAGAGAAGTGCACGGAAATTTATCAAGCAATGGTATTGGGTTATTGTATGTTATTTTCTTTATGTTCCATACAAACCCAAAAAAAAAAAATAGTAATTATTGTAAGATTGGTCGGGCTTGTTATTGCTACCGCTACTGCACCATTAAAGTTATTTTGTCCAGCCTACCAAAACAAAATTCCAAGCTAGACATAAATTGATGTACATTATTGCTGGTTGGTTGTTGGTTTCTTCGCATGGTACATTTGTTTGCTATGTTTCCGTACCTCTTCCTTTTTTGCTCTTAACGTTTGGTAGGGTATTTAATTCACATTTACTAAAATCCAAAATACTACAATTTTAATAGGGAAAATTGTGAAAATGTACACCATTTCATACTTATTTGTGTAAAAGTACTTCAATATAAAATATATGTGTATAAGTACCTTTATGTGTAAATGTTGGTGAAGAGGTACACTTTTGTTAAATTGTAATATTTTCTCTTACTAAATTGCCCTTTTTCTTTATTTATGGGAGACAAATATGACAGTTATATAGAGATTTAATTTTCTAATTTTGTGTTATATTTTTTTTCAATTTTAAGTTATCTATTAATCTATAATTGAACAATCGATTATTCAAACATTCATTCCATACCTATTTTGCTATCATTCAAACCAAAAATATCTGTCAATGACACCCTCCTGCCAATCAATGTCATCATACTATAAGCCAAAATGTCATAGTGATACTTTCTAATGACAATGATACCAACAATGACATATTGTCACCATCCAAAATTTACACTATTACCATAAAAAAAGTCGCACTACATTTATATAATTTTTTTAGTCATGTCTTCCCTACATTTATATAATTTTTTTTTATAAATCGTTATGAGGAATATATGTTTTCACCTTATATAATAGGAAAAATTTCAACCACATTCCCTGTAGTTTATCATATTTTCAAGGACATCCCCTCTAGTTTCTGAATTTTCAATGACACCCCCTCTAGTTTACCATATCTTCAAGGACACCCCCTCTAGTTTCTGAATCTTCAATGACACCCATTCTAGTTTAATTTAAACATCACTAATACCCCTAACATTAAACTATTATTTCTAACAAAATAAATTCATCTAAAATAGGAAAAATGCCCCTACATAACTTCAAGTAATTTTTCGAGCTGTTAAAATTTTTAAAAAAATCATAAATAACAATTTTAGTAAATAATTTGTTAGTAAATACTAATTTTTTATTTACTAATTAGTAAATTTTAAAAATAAAATCGCGTCTATTAATTTTTTTTGTTACAGATTAAAATTTGAGCCGATTTGAACTCTATCTGAGTTGTTAGAGCCGATTAAAATTCTCTTTCGAGTCGATTATAATTTATATTTTTTTCTTATTAAAATTAGATTTATTAAAGTTTAAGCCAATTAAAATTCATATATTTTTATATATTAAAATTTAGGCTGATTAAAATTCAATGCGAATTAATTAAAATTTGATTTGAGTCGATTAAAAATAATTTTTAATTGGCTCAAACAAAATTTTAATTAGCCCAAATTCTAATACGTAAAAAAATATAATTTTTAATTGGCACAAATTTTAATATGTAAAAAAATAAATTTTAATTAGCTTGAATCGAATTTTAATCGATTTGAATTTAATTACGTAAAAAAAATTAGAAAACAGAAGGGGTATCATTAAAAATATACTTATCTAAAGGGAGTGTGGATGAAGTTTGTCCCCAAATATATCATGGGCAATTTAGTAAAATTGCATTCTACTTAATATTTTTAATCTGACAGGGGTGTCATTGAAGATTCAAAAATTAGAGGGGGTGTCCTTGAAGATATGGTAAACTAGAGGGGGTATCATTGAAAATTTTCCTATTTAATACTATTAGTTGTTACGAATATTTTTTTCTATGAATATTTTAAATTTAAATTTAGTACAATGGTACATGTCACATTGACACAGTAGTACACAACAATGTCACAATGTTACAAGCTAATGTCACACTAATACAAGTCAATGTCACGCTAGAAGGGGTGCCAGTGATGTTTTTAATAATAGAGGAGGTGTCCTTAAAAATATAGTAAACTAGAAGGGGTGTGACAAAAATTTTCCCAAAAAATAATTACACCTCTTGAACGCCGCCTCTATGGTCCGCAAGCCTTGAAGAAGATAATCCTCTCAAAACCCTCTTTTTTCATGAACAGATTTATGGTGATTTTTATAATCCGCGACTCTCCTTTGCGGTCTATCTCAGCATCGCGAATGTTTGAAACCTTGTGCTTCAAGTCTTTAGAGAGTTTTGCAATCTTGATGAGTCCTCTTGATCGGAAACAAAAGGATTTGGACTCCGTTGATATTTGATCGAAAGTTGGTTTTTCAATCAGAGAAAGTCGTCTGAATTTATTGAAATTATAACGTTTTTAAAAAAAATTAAAGTTTTAGGAAAGTTTTCTTATCGATCTTGAAATAATGGAGGTTTCGACGATATTGAAGGAGTTTTATAGGTAACAGTTGATATCTTTGATATTTCAGTTGTGGAGGCAAAAATCAAGGAATCGATTCCCATTTTACTGAATGAGGTATTTTATAGATTTGTTAGGAATTATGTACTTTTTAACCTATGTTTTTAAAAATGGTACCTGTTGCTCTATAATTTTTAAAAAGGGTACCGCTCCTAAAACAAGGCCCACCTAAATTTTTAGTGTGATTTTTCAACCACACTTTTCTTTTCAATAAAAAAGGGTGGTTTGACTTGCTTATTAAGCTAGAAAAATGCTTTTTCATTAAGGTCATGCAAGGTTTCTTTTTCTCTTGCATGCACCTTCGTACTTCTTTCTTTCCAATTAAAAGAAGCTTCGTCGGAAAGGAATAAAAATGATGTATTGGCTTAGTTGGCAGCTGACTACCTTAGCTTTCGTCTTGTGTAAACTGTCAATCTATCAATAGTTAATTTGTCGATCGATAAGTAACTCTATAAATCCGATATCATCTGATCGATGAGCGTTATTCTTTTCAAAGGCATTATATGAACCAAACAAATGAGAGCTGGGGCAAGTATGGTATCTGTCACTTATTGTTTTTCCAATTTGACCAACATGTAAGTACCAATGTTGGCAATGTTAAAAAATATTTCTGATTAAATCTTCTAATTTGGTTGCTATGTTAGTTTTAAAATATTAAGAGATCCACTTATTAATTTTGAGAAAACTTAGGGGATCCAAATGCAATTTACCTTAAAATTACTCCTATTATTCAGAGTTTACCACCTACAACGATTGTTGGGACCGTTTTGAGCCGTTGCGTCCACGGGGAAAATGGGTGACGCTGCGCTCCAAACACATATTCGGTGGTTTACGTGGGCCTACATTTGGAGGACCCCCCCCTGATCAGGTGCTTCAGACCTCACCGAACAAAAGTGGAGGAACCAATAAAATTTCTGAATGGAATTGGGTCAATGTTTTCTACGTTAGGACCAAATCTCTTTAATGCTATCAGGACCACCTGATTTTTTCTCTACTCACCCAACACTGCCGTCAGATTCAACCAGCAACTTATATCCACACCTTCGTACAAGTTACGCAATCCGCTCTAACGGTCTTAATTTTTTTTTTGGCTGTTTTTTTTAAATTTAATAGGCATAGATGTCTAGGGCAGCTTATATGTATTGCGACTAATCTCTTCTTTAGTTTGATCAAAAATAGACTATTCATGCCGAAATGAGAGTATTCATGAGAAAAAATCTCCGTGACTTAACCTAAAGGATTACTAAGATTTAAATTCAGACCATCTGAATTTATAATTTATTTTTATTACCACTTGAACTATACATTAAAATTATTTCTAATTATTTTCATTCCTTTGAATACACAAAGGTATTATTAAGGCATCGGAATATACTTGTTTGGTATTTTATTCTCATTTTTTACTTACTAAAAATTTATTATGTGTCAAATTTTATTATTTTTATTACTTTATAATTTTTTCAATCAATAATTATAAAAATCACCCAAAACAAAATTAATGCCTTAGATGTATTTTGGGTCAACCATTTAATTTTTTTGCCGATAGGTATCATAGCCTTACCCTACACAAATATATATATAAAAGTTTAAGGAACGAGGTTATTTACTTTTCATCGAATTCAGGTAGGGTGTTTGAATGGATTAAAGGAGGTGACAATTTAAATGACATGTACGTCTCAACACCGATTGTAGTAAGTCGTAGTCGAGTAAGTATTCGGTGTAACGGTTATATCAAGTCAAAATTGTTATGTAGTTTAATCATTTAATGATAAATAAACAAATGAATACAATGACCCCATATGGGTTACTTAAAAAGAGTAGTTATTTGAATGAATCCGTGGTAGACATGAGATAGGGGGAGATGGGCATAGAGGGATTTGGGTTGAGCCTATATAGTATAGGAGTGTTATTACAAATGAGCAATTCTTGCATGGCGTTGGATAAATTAATCATTTGAGTGATAAACTGACAATTTTTATATTTTTCAAGGGATAAAATAAAATTTTTCCTAAAAAAAAGAGGAAAAGATATGGGACCCTATAATTGGATAATCCCTTAAAATTATTTTTGTTTGTAATTATGCATAATGAGTACAAATAAACTATTTTTCTCCTATTACAATGAATGCCTTAATAAATTGCATTTTTCAAAGAAATATAAAGTTAAGTTATAACCCCAAAAAAGAAAAAATTAGACGAAAATATCACTTAAAATACGAGGGACGATGTAAGAGATAAATATACGCCTTTTACCGATATCGACTAATTAATCTCATAATTGGGTGTATTAGAGATTTATAAGAACTTAGACAAGACCTAATTAATTATAAAAGCTACCTATAATATAATTGTACTATTTAAATTTAACATGCTTTAATCAACCAAGTCGTCATATACCTTAGTGGGTTTGGTCAATGATTAGTTGTTCAATTAACAATTTGTAGAAAACAAAGAACAATACCGACCCTCAAGAATTTAAATAAAAAAAAAAAGGCACAAACATAGATTAATGGGACACTTTTTGGTATTTGATGCTCACACAGTGACAGGTTTGGAGTCTTTTTACTGTATCCAAAAGTATTTTTTGATATTATATTTTTAATTTTTAATTAATAAAAATATATCACGTATAATTCAATATTAACAAATGTACACTAATTAATGTTAAACAATGTCGCTACGCTACCATATACTTCACCGACAGATTCGTGATTAATCAGCATAAACATGACAATTTTTTCTCCAAAATCGAATATGATTCTTCTTACGTTGTCCCCTCAACCTTCTCTATAAATCAGCCAAAACTAAAGCTATTCCGATGAGGGAAGCTTTAGTTTCATACAGTTCCAATGGCTACACTCTCTCTCTTCTTCTACCTCATCTCTCTCCTCTCTCTCCTCACCTTTTCTTCATCATCAACATCACCAGACACCATCACCATCTCCCTCTCACCCTTCACCAGAACCCCACACTCCAACCTATGGCAGAGGCTCAACCGCCTAGTTTCTTCATCTCTCTCCAGAACTCACCTCATCAAACACCCCCACAAGAACAATTCTCTCACCAAAACATCTGTTTTCCCTGAAAGCTATGGAGGCTACTCCATACCTCTCAGCTTCGGCACACCCCCACAAACCCTCTCTTTCGTCATGGACACTGGTAGTAGCCTAACGTGGTTCCCATGCACACAAAGATATGATTGTTTCCAATGTAATTTCCCAAACATAAACCCCAAAAACATATCAACTTTCTTTCCCAAACGATCGTCTTCTGCAAAGCTTTTGGGTTGCAGGAACGAGAAATGCGGGTTGATATTTGGCCCGGATGTGAATTCTCGGTGCAGAGGCTGCGATGGAAGTTCCGGTAACTGTACACAGACTTGTCCGGTGTATTTGGTTCAGTATGGGTCCGGAGCAACAACTGGGTTTCTACTTTCCGAGAAACTTGTTTTTCCCGACAAAATTGTGAGTGATTTTGTTGTTGGGTGCTCACTTTTTTCTTCCCAGCAACCCTCTGGCATCGCCGGATTCGGCCGTGGGCCGGAATCGTTGCCGGCGCAGATGGGTCTCAAGAGGTTCTCTTATTGTCTGGTGTCTCACAGTTTTGACGGCTCTCCGGTAAGTAGTGACCTTGTTTTGGTCGGTGGGTCAGATTCCGGCGATGGCAAGTCCCGTAATGTGAGTTACACACCGTTTCGCAAGAACCGTATCACCCCAAACTCCATATTTCGAGAATATTACTACGTAACTCTTCGGAAAATCACCGTCGGCGGCGTTAATGTCAAAGTTCCTTACAGTTTTCTGGTGCCGGGAAGTGACGGCAACGGCGGTACTATGGTTGACTCCGGCACGACTTTTACGTCCATGGACGAGGAGGCTTATGAGCTGGTAACACAAGCATTTGAAAAGCAGATGGCCCACTATAGTCGAAATGCTGACGTGGAAAATCAGTCCGGTTTAAGGCCATGTTTTGATATATCCGGAAAAAAACCGTTATTTTATCCGAAATTAATTTTTCATTTCAAAGGTGGTGCAAAAATGGATTTGCCTATGGCAGATTATTTTTCCTTTGAAGGTTCGAGTGCCGTGTGCATGACAATCGTGTCGAATGGTGCCGATAGTCGAGCGTTCGGGCCTTCGATTGTTATCGGTAATTATCAACAGCAAAATTTTTACATGGAGTATGATTTGGAAAATGAGAGGCTCGGATTTCGAAAACAAATTTGTAAGTGAGTTAGTGGAGCACACGGAGAAATGATGATGGTGGCAATAGAGTAATATAGAGCTCATTGTATTCTTAGCTCGTTGTGGGAATGATTTTAATACTGAAATTCAAATTATGAACTGTAAAGTAGATTAGCATGTACCATGTTTAAGGAACACTTGGTGTATGTCCTTTTTTGGGACCTTTAGACTTTAAGGGACTTGTTCTAATGATCAAGAAACAAGAAACAAGAAAGTGTCTTGTCCTATTTTTTTTCCTGTAAATCAGAGTAGAATTGGAACACTTTCTAAGACGGGATTCAAAATAAAAAAAAATACTATTTAAACTTAATTTGAATATCAAATATGAAAACTTACTTCAATGCAACTCAAATGAGTGGGTTGATTCTCATTTTGATAGGATGAGACTCAAAATCAAGGGGTTCACCGACACGGGTGATTCTTACTTTCACAAGACGAGATTTAAAATCAAATGGTTCTGACCGGTGGAAAGACTCCCTTTCACCGACAATGCGGGTGGCACAAGTTAAAGGCGTTTGTTTAAGTTAAAGGCATTTGTTTTAGTAGTTAGATGGTAATAGTTGATTGTTGGTTAGTCAATTGTTGTCCCAATTACAGAGTTTAAGGCAAATAATGAAGCTCCCAGGTAGCTAAGCTAATAAACCAGGGACTGTGATGGGCAGCTAGGTGCACCACTTGGGTCTTTGGTGGTGGTTCCCTGAGTGTGATTTGGGCTAAACCAATATGGAGGTGGACAGACAGAGTTAAGAGGCCTTTTCATTATGTGTGTCTACCAAAAGATGCACAATAGTGATGGAATTAATTGAGAGTTGAGCAAAAGTCTAACCAAGTCTTTGCCCAATTAATGCATAGGCGTTGATGCTGCTGCTGATGGCCGGACTGATAGGGAGATTAGTCGAGGTACTGATAAGTTAATTCAAATACCTTATCATAATATTGTTGAAAAAAACGTTTGGTTGCAATATAGTAAAAAAAATGATTGTATTAATTCATACGAGTACAAATTATTACAATTCAGTGTTTGATAAGACATTGGATAAAGATGGGATAATAGAGTACAAATTATATATTGATCAAAAAATCATCAATTTTTGTCTAATTACTAATATTTTTGTTTATTTGATGGATAAAATACTTAAAATTATAACTTAAAAAGCTTGATTTAGACTATAATATCACCTCCCAAAGTGGTATTATAATTGGGTTAATAGTACGGGTAGAGTATATTATTTCAATAAATATTTGAAATAAGATTATATATAATACAAAATATTTTTATAACCAAATACAATATAAAATTGGATGAGAGAGTCTTAATTTATTATGACTCTTTAATACACCATTTAATACTACTATCTTTAATTTTGTATTTTCACATACAATTTAATGGGGTTGTTGATTTTTAGTAGGCATGGTGAAAGTATAACACAATGTTATAAGAACTAGACCGAACACCAAACTGATGGAGAGACCGGGTCAATGATTTAATAGTTCAACTGCTGGGTCAACTGGTTGAATCGACAATATAATAAAAAATTATAAAACATAAGTAATTTACCTTAAAAAATATAAAATATTTTCACTCTAATTTATTCATTCTATTTTCCATCAAACATTCTTTGGAATAAATTACAAAGGGGGAAGAGAGTAAATAAGGCAAAAAAAGAAAACTCTAGAAACTATTTGAGAAAAGGAAACCTAGCAACTATGGTGTACATTGTACTCTCTCATCTTCTGTGTCGTTGCAGAGGCGTGAGAAAGAGTGAAGAGAAGAGAAGAGATGAGGCGATCCCTTTATGTGAGAGAGAGAGAGAGAGTTTCCGTTCAAGAAGCAAGGATAAATCAGTCGCCTGAGCTGTCTCCACTCAAGAGGAGAATCGCCTGAGCCGTCACCACTCAAGAGAGGAGATCACTTAAGCGTTTGCCGGAGTCGTCACCACTCGCTTGAGTTGTAGCCTGGGAGGACTACTGCATGAAGGATCAACTGGAATTGAATCAAATTAGGGCAAAATTTCCCTAAAAAAGAGGGATTTTTTTCAATACTGTCTCCCTTTATGTAGATCTTTGCGCGAGAGAACCGCCAACTACTCCAGATGCTAACACTACTCCACCAAAGACCATCTCCTCTCTCCCTTCCCAAGATTTAACAGTTCAAAAACTGTTCCCATGCATATACGGTCCAACTCAAAAACCAAACCAATCTAGACTCCGGTTCACAATCTGACCGGCTATAACATGATTTTTTTTCAAGATGTTTTATAAAAATTGATGTCAATCCGAACTCCAAAAAATTCTTTAAATTTGCGATGATTTTGCCTGACCTAAATTAGGTATGTTCGGACCCAGCTTTGTTATGATGTTTTGCCCAAACAATATAAAATAGCCCCTTTCTCGTTTCATCAACTTTCATAATGACTTTTTCCAACTTTATCAGCTTTTTTGAGAATGCTCCAAACGGTTTCAAATTTTTTTTAGAAGTTGATTTATTCACTGCACTTTCAAACTTCTGTTTCGCACTCAAAAAAATTAGCTTTAAATAGGCTTAATAGCAAAGTTTTTTTTTATGGTGAGAGAGACTTATATTTCACAAGAAAAAACAACATTATGGTTATTTTATTTATACCAAATTTACATCTCTGTATGTTGGCCCAATCACTCGGTCTTTTTGGATCAACATTGACACCTTGAATTGAGTCAAAAAAAAAAAAATCATTAAATTGAGTTTAAGTAATACTAAATTTGGGACTTAGGATCTGGCTCAAGTCACAATGATTTTTGTTAATACCAGCCCAATACAATGAAGTCTAATAGAACCACAAAGCACCATATGCATGGTGGTACTAACTAACCTCATGTGATTGGTGGAATAATATAAACCTTGATAGATATTATATGAAGATAGGATTGGATGTACAAGTATTTTCATTTTTTAATTTTAATATACTTAATTAATATTCAATCCAAACAAGGGATTGATATGAAGTTGATGATCGGCTCATACCTTATCCCAAACTTAAATCAAATACTGTAACAATGAGATAGAATAAAATGACAAATTAATTTTTTGGTATAGTGTGTATAAGCTTGTATCGACTATTTTTTTGAACTCAGATACGAGTCATCGTTGATGGATCCTGCCCAGCTCAAAAATCTAGTTTAGAAATACAGATCAGGCTCAGGTCATAGACGCAATCAAGCGCAGATTAGAGATATAAGCCAACAAAGGCCAAACTCATCGTCTTAGAAAATCCAGTCTATTAGTGATGCACATGAGTTCTCCATCTCAGAAAGGGAATTAGGGTACTTATCGCAAGCCTCAACTACGTCATCCGTTACGACAATATCACTGAACCATCCACTCCCATCACAAACGTGACGCCTTAATCAGGGCTTCCTATGATGGCACCTTTATCAAAGTCTGCTCTGGGGCGTCATGAAGACTGTACTCCCCCTATAAATTATAAGCTCTACCTGTACATAGGGGACATCAAATACATCTCAACATATACCGCTCTCAAGTAATAAGATTCTTCGACCACTGTCGTCATTTTCAGTGGAGTAGGTCACTCATACTGAACTACATAATCTTTGTGTTTGCATGTGTTGATTCCTTCTGACTTCATTCTCGATTGATTTTGCATAAACTTATTTTTATATATCATCAATTGTAACCCGAACGAATTTAAAATATGTTCCATAACAAAGGAGGATTGTTGGCCCTTAGTTATTAATGCTAGTATAGATTCAACTGGAATCGGTTATTCAAGCCCATCATATATTCTACCCAAACTAAACACCCTCTGGACCCTCAAGCAAGGTTATTGCAAGAACAAGTTGGGAAAAGAACATATGTAGGGACAGTTGAGGTAGCTTCCAGGAAGGTTGCCCGAAAACAAAGTTAGAAAGAAAACATAGTTGAAATGTATGGTGTGATCTATGACGAATCTATGACGAATGAGTGTGTGATGGTGAAGATAAGAAGTCATGTGATGAATGATGAAAGAGAACAAAAGAAATGATAATGGCTTTGGCTTTTGGTTGAATTTGGAATCTCTACTCACTGGCCGTTGGCATATAAACATCACGTCAAGTGGGTGAAGGTTTAGTGGACAAATTGTGGGGTTGTAACTTGGTGCGGTGGGTTTGTGGATTTTCTTGATAAGTGCTTATTGCATATTTGAGGTCTTGTGGTATATAGTCGTTTGGGTGGTGCATTCTCACTGTTCATACAGTAGCTGCGGGTTTTCTTCAGTCGTTTGGGTTTGTGGATTTTCGTTGGGGTGGGGTGGGGTGGGGTTTGAGGTTAGTGCCATTAATCGAGTTGAGTTTGATTCTGAGTTTGTTGAACTCGTATTTTAAAATGAGTTTAAAAAATTATTCAAGTTTGACTTATTTAAAAAATAAGTCACGTCCGAGGAGGGCTGAGCTTGAACTAAACATGAGTATATCGACTATTTTACATATAAATGAGTCTTTTAGCTTCGTTTTTTTAAACGAGTTTAAAAAATTGTTCAAGTTCGGTGCATTTAGAATACAGGTCGAGCTCAAGCTGAGCCTTTTAAACTCGTTTTTTAAAAATGAGTCTAAAAAAATTATTCAAATTTAATTTATTTAGAACATAAGTCAAATTTGAATCAAATCCTATTCGTATCGAGCTCGAGAAAAGCCACACTAAGTTAACTTGCTTAACAGTCCTAGTTGAAGTTGTGGTCCGGACAACTCACTCGAAATATGCAGGGGTTGGTTTAGATTTCTGGACTTCGTGTTGACCCACTCGATCCAACGATAGCTTTTAGATTAAAAAAGTATTATTTTTATTTGTTTAAAATGCTTTTAAATGATTTGTAGGAATAAAAATAAATATTACAGAAAAAAAAAACTAGAGAAATGGTCTGGGCCTGTGGTAATGATGGTCCAGAGGCAGGGCCTACACTATTAATGATTGACTCGGCCTGTCCCCAGACCCAATTAGTAAGTTGGGTTTGTCTAGCAAGAAGAAGATTTGAACCATTAATCAAAATTTTATTTAAGTATATTATTTTAGTTACCTAAGAAATAAAAATTTTTAGACGTGTTTCAAAAATGTTTCAATCTATTTCGGAAATATAATAAAAAAAATAAAGAATTCTTTTTCTAAAACATTGGTCGAAATATACAAAAATATCTTAAAATACTTTAAAATATTCTGAAATAATTGTGCAAATGCAATGAAATATTACAAAACATCTCAAGACATTATAAAATACCTCGAAGTATTAAAATTTCAATTTCATCGCTGATTTGTTTTGATTTCTTTGAAAACGAAAACGTTTTGGATGTTTGACCATTTCAAAACAAAATTTTGAACTTTAATTTGAACATCTCAATTTATTATTGACCGATACTTCAAAACATGGAATGTTTAGACTAAATGATTCTAATTTATGTGGATTTGGTTTTTGGTTGGACTTGCATGTATAACATGTGACTCTAACGTTTGTTATTATGATATAAAAGTTATTTTAGTTTGAATTGTGTAGTGACTAATATTTGATGTTCTCTTTGGGTTAGGTTGAATAATTTATTCTTGAGATTAGTTATGCAATAATTTGTGTTAGGCAGTGTTACAATTGATGTTAGTGTAAACAAGGTGAGATTTCCTTGGGTTTTTATTTTGAAAGAAAATATTGTCATTTTTTTTACATAGGAGGGATTATATTGATTTCAATTTCTTTAACTAAAGTAAATAAAGAAAAATCTATTTCAATTTGAAGGATTTGTTTAAATTGTAAAAGTGCCTTTAGGCACAGTTTTTTATGATATAAATTACTAATTTTATTATATAAATTGTGTTGTGTACAAGTCTATATTTTTCAGGATTATGTCTTTACGAAAAATTATATCAATTTTTTTTAAATAATGGGTCAATATTAAACTGGTGGAGCTTATAGTCAGAGAGATTGAATTGTTTCTCAATCTCTACATGAACTCATAATTCAGTTGGGGAACTTATTGCAATATGATTGATAGTTCTTGATGATACGTGAATAAGAATTTTAACCAAGTATGAGTTCGGGAAATGAGATCAGACAAGGAGATTAAACAAGGAAGTTAGACAGGGAGTTCAGAGCTCTGAAGCCCAAGTCCCAAGCTCCTCTTCGAGAAAAATCTGAGGAGTCAAGGAGAGAATAGCTGATCAGTAATAAGAGTCCACAGAACAGCTAAAGGGCAGTTATCGAGGAGTGAAACTCTCAATCACCCAAGATCCCCTCCTAAAATCAAGGAGAGTTCCATAGATGAAGAGCAAAGATCTCGCTGCAGATCCCTTAGATAGACAAATAGTGCTATAAATATTGTACAATTCCTCCTTGAGAGGCAAGAAAAACCTAATCCCATCAAAAATACTCTGTAAGTCATATCAACCATTAATATAGAAAAAAGGAAAAAGAGCTTCCATTAGAGAGTGAACTAGCCGAACTCCTGAGCCGGTGAATCACTATATTTTCACTGTGTGAATTATTCCAATTCTCCAGCAATACTTCTCATGATCCTCATAAGCCATGTGACTCAGATCCAACTTGCCAAGTATAATTCATACCATCTGCTCATCCACGTTAATTTCCACCATCACTTCTGATTTTATTGCATTTGGCTCTTCGAAATCTTACTATTGTGTCTGAAAAAACTATTGTGTTTGAAAAAACTAGGCATGCTTGGTTGGGAGCTCCACATAATTAGCACTCATTTTCGTTAGTACTGCATTTTAGTTTGTATTCCTAACTTGGTTTTTTTTTTTGGGTAGGTTAAACTTTCTGAATATATTGGGAAGAAATACGTGATACTCTTTTTCTATCCTCTGGATTTCACATTTGTCTGTCCCACAGGTGAGTCTAATAATGGTTGATTATATATTTTCTTTTTTATAATCTTCATTAAATGAAATCAATATAATTAAAATATTCATTTTTCTTGTTGCTAATATTTTCATTTATTCCTTTTCCTTTTTTCTTAAATAGAGATCACTGCTTTCAGTAACCGGTATGCAGATTTTGAGAAGTTAAACACCGAGATATTGGGTGGTGTTTCAATTGACAGTGTGGTGAGTCCTTTTCTATTAATCCATTTAGAACATATAGTCATCATAATCCTTTAATTCTCGTTCTTATTTCTGTATTTGATCATCATTTCGATGTGTTAATGTTAGAGGCAAACAGAATACGTCTAAGTTTGCTCACAGAAACAATGATAGGTCTTACGTGCCGTGATTGTCTCCATGCTTAATCAGTAATAGCACTCGACCTTTACTCTATTCTTAATTCCATGGGCCTGAAGATGTCTAACACCGATGCAACCACAGGTGTTGTCCACAACTGACATTATATTGGCACCAATCTTTCCCTTATTGGATACAAATGCCATGAAATACCGCCTTCTTAGCATGAGCAGTGCTTTGTTCTGTTCTACTCCTTTCCAACCTGTTGTTTCTTGCTATATTCTCTCAATTATCTGGTTATTTCTTATGTGTCACATTCGAAAATTATTAGCCTAGTTTGGTGTGCTTTGTGGACACTGTTTTGCTTAGATATAGAGATGCCCTGAGCAGGATCCCTTTTGTTGGATTGCAATTGTTAATGAGCAGACATGATGGGAATCTCTAGATTTATTTCTACAGGCATACTTTGGCCTTCAGATGGAGAAGAGTGTATCAGGCTGAGAAACTTCAGTATAATTTGTGGATTACTTAGCATTTTTGGTCGAAAATCATTAGGCTTGCTGCTGACCTCCAAATATGTTCCTAGTATAAGAGGAGTCCTCAATCAATTTGTGGTCTTTATATGACTAATAATATTCACCCTATCTCTATAGGCTTTAACTGAAGTTTATTTCATAAATTGCATGGCCATTGATGTGGATACCTTGGTGATCTGATTACTTGTAGCTTTCACTAGGTTTGTTAGTTATATAATTTGGTTACTCATGTTTGAAATTCAAATTTATTTGTTCCCTGTGATCATTTTAATGTTCATTGCTCATGTAGTTCTCCCACCTTGCATGGTGATTTGAAGTATCCATTGGTTTCAGATGTGACAAAATCTATTTCAAAATCTTATGATGTGCTGATACCAGCTCAGGTATAATATGTTTCATTATTTACTACTTTATTTGTCCTGGAACAGCTCTCTAATCTTGCTAAGGAATTATGCTGGGTGGAGAGTTATGATGGAATGCTAGTGCTAGATGGAGTTCTAGAATAGGTTGCAAGGATTGGGTTCTAAATTCATCGGGTTAGGATGGTGGATATCATGAATGCAAGAAAGAGTAGTCCTTATGACCCCAACCATTTGGGACTACATGTCCTCAAGGGATCTGAAAAAGATTCAACGTGTTGTGCTGCTGGCAAGCATGTGAAAGGCTGCATGCATGGTAAAACATTTCGCAAGCGAATATCGTTATCAACACCAAGAAACTATTTTTTGAAATTAATTAACATGGATAATTATGAATGTGGAATTGCTTTTTCCTTTTCTCCCATTGTGTGCGCATGTAGTACACTGAACAGGAATGGTTGCATGCTTAATGAACCATTAATTGTATTTTGAATACTGTTTAAATGAGTTCTGCTTGTGTAGGGGAGGCATCAGTTCATGGATAGTTTCATTTCTGTTTGATGTTCAACAATTATTCTAGTGCATTATAGTCAAATTGCATTGTAACGTTGGTATTATTTTTCTACCGACAATGCTGCATGCAAACATAAAACATTTTATTAAATAATCAGTCTATTGAAGGAGGGACACTTGCTTAACTCTTGAAAGTGTGCACCCAGGAATGCGTGCACATGTACTATTGCTATGTTATCTATTATGAAAAACAGCTATATTCCAGCAATTCCATTGAGGATCACGGTTGATAAGTTATTCACTGTGTTAATTTACTCATGCTACGTTGTAAAAAGCATACAGCAACAAATTCTTATCGAACTATGTCTTAATTAAGCTTTGGTTGTTTATCCTACTAATCATTTTTGAGTTACTAAAGGATCAAAACTTATTATTATTCTAGTTTTGTCATTCTAGATAAGATGATATGATTGTTGCCCTTCCGTTTTTGTTAATTTTTTCTTCATTATTTGCATCATCGGTGCCATAATGATCAGTAGCCATTTTGACTGAATGCTGATGTCCATGTATCAGGGAATTGCATTGAGGGGACTTTTCATCATTGACAAGGAAGGAATTACTCAGCACTCGACCATTAGCAATCTTGCAATTGGCCGCAGTGTTGATGAGACAATGAGAACACTTCAGGTAATTATGTTTGATTAAAAAGGGACATAATTTGGGTCTTCTAAGGCATTTGCCTTTCTAATGGTTAAGGCATTAATTATTTGGTTTATGATACTTTTTCGCCCTGTACTGATCTTGTAGGCATTGCAATATGTACAAGAGAACCCAGATGAGGTATGTCCAGCTGGATGGAAGCCTGGAGAGAAGTCCATGAAACCAGATCCTAAGCTCAGCAAGGAATACTTTTCGGCAATATGAAGGTTCTATTTGTCATTCCGATAGGGGGTTGTAGAGAGTTTTGTTTTTGTGTAACATTTTATCAGACTTATTTTTGAGTTCTGGGAATAAATGAATCGAATCATATGTACCCTGTGTGAATTTTATTTCTTATCTGAATGTATGGGTACGTTATTTCAAAATCAGTTTTAAGGGTTATAGTTTTTATCCATTTCATTGATAACCTGCTGCAGCTTAGTAACTAAGTAGCAGGGACTTCATATTTCTCAAAGAACATAAACCAGCAAGAAAGGTATGAACTCTGGTTTCGAGTGATGGCCAATTTGGAGTGCATATCGGAGAGCGCTGGAACTTGACTGTCGAAGGAACAGTTTTTGGTATTGGATTCCTTCCTCCCAATTTCAGATTCAAATCGTCGAATTGATCTGCTTATAGAATATCCTTTAGAACGTACCTTCCTAGTTATCGTAACAAGAACAAGGAAACTCTTTATCTTTTCTAATCTGCTTGCTGTCTCAGTTTGGCTGTAAGCCTTTTGTTTCAAGTGTTGTGTACTATAATGATTCAAAGCCCGGCCTTCAATCGAAAACTGGAATTGCGGATAAGGGAATAAAAACTCTCTTGGATCCTAAAGAGCTTTGGTTTACGATAAATTACAGATCTTAGGCATTTGGTTTTGTGGAACATATTACTGTAGGTGACTTCATCGTTTTGTGGAACATATTCTTGGTGTACTTTTTTTTTTTGAGATTGCTAGTGAATTTGGGAGTGGAACTGTCTTTGTGAAGTAGGTTGTTGTTGCTGGTTTGTCACAGCTTGGATGTTGTTCGATCTTTCCCTATCTCCCCTTTGGTTGCCTTGAAGTTTCTAGGAAACAAGGAGGGCCTGGATAATAGACATCCCAGATAGCTTTGGATATGGTGGTAAAAGTTCCGAATTTTGGATATGGTGCTAAAAGTTCCGAATTGAGGGAAAATCAGGCACTATTACAAGAGAGGGGAGGACAAAGTTTGAACTTGAGACCTCAAGATTCAATAGTGGTGGCAGTGATTATTAGACTAATCGCTAACCTCACTCTTGATGTACACGAGAAAGATATATATTCACATTAAATTAGAATAATTTTCACGTTTTATAATCTTTATTGTTATTTATAGAGAAATCAATGATAGTAGGCACACCATGTGAACAATAAAAGTATTTTGCCTTGCGTAGGTACCCAAAATTGGATGGTAACGCTGTCTTATTCAAGAGATCATTCATTTCAAATGTGTACTTCTTTCGTGATAGAAAATGAAACACGTAATCAATTATTGTAAATCCAAATCCACCTACCACCTTAAAAAAAGGCATAATCTATAGAGATGTACATAGAGATTTATCAAGCAATGGTATTGGGTATGTTATTTTCTTTATGTTCCATACAAACCAAAAAAAAATAGTAATGATTGTAAGATTGGTCGGGCTTGTTATTGCTAATGTTACTGCACCATTAAAGTTGATGATGTACAAAATAGTAGCGTGCAAGATCAACGGTCGAGTGTGTGATAAAGTATAATTAATGGACAATAAATAAAGCAATCAATGACAATAGTGTAAATATAAAGTCAACACACAGATATATATTGATTCGGTCGGGTGACCTACTTTACTCTGGAAAACAACAATGATGATCGGGGGTCTTTATTGATCAAGCAAGATCTTCGAGAGAGATATAATAGCTAGGAGAGAGAAAGTGGGTGTAGAGGTAAAGCTCAATGTGTAGTGAGACGCAAATATGTGTACTCTCATGTGGATGAGACTTACAATTTATAGGCATAGTGAGACGGTGACGTGAGTGTGAGGGCACTAATTCTTCTGGGAGAATAGTTACAAAAGCTATGTACAATTAAGATAGTCTTGATCTTAGAGTGGATATCTTGATAATTTCTCTCTCACGTGTTCTTATCTTCTTGGGCTCCTTGAATCTTGGACTGAATTGGATTGACGAACTAGATTTGATCTGCCTTTTAACAGATTTGAGTTTACTTGATTTATTGGGTCTGACTTATTAAATTTGAGCTCGTCAAAAGTTATTTTGTCCAGCCTACCAAAACAACAAGCTAGACATAAATTGATGTACATTATTGCTGGTTGGTTGTTGGTTTCTTCGCATAGTACATTTGTTTGCTATGTTTCAGTACGTCTTCCTTTTTGGCTCTTAACGTTTGGTAGGGTATTAAATTCACATTTACTAAATCCAAAATATTACTATTTTAATATTATAAAATATGGCCTACCTAGAATTTTAGTGTGATTTTTCAACCACACTTTTCTTTTCAATAAGAAAGGGTGGTTTGACTTTATTGTTAAGCTAGGAAAAAGCTTTTTCATCAAGGTCGTGAAGGCTTTTTTTTCTCTTGCATGCACTTTCGTACATCTTTCATTCAAATTAAAAGAAGCTTCATCGGGAAGGAATAAAAATGATGCATTGGCTTAGAAGGAATAAAAATGATGTATTGACTTAGTTGGTAGCTGACTACCTTAGCTTTCGTCTTTTGTAAACTGTCAATCTATTGATAACTAATTTGTCAGTTGATTAGCAACCATATAAGCCTGATATCATCTGATCGATAAGCGATATTCCTTTCAAAGGCGTTATATGAGTCAAACAAATGAGAGTGAGTGCAAGTATAGTATCTCTCACTTATTTTTTTCCCAATTTGACCGACATGTAAGTTACCAATGTTGGCAATGTTAAATAATATTTCTGATAATTTGGTTGCTATGTTATTTTAAAAATATTAAGAGATCCACTTATTAATTTTGAGACACCTTAGGGATCCAAATGCAATTTATCCTAAAATTACTCCTATTATTCAGAATTTACCACCCACTACGATTGTTGGGACTAGGGTTGTGCAAAATATCCGATAACCCGAAACGATCTGAAACCAATCCTTTTGAACAGAAAACGGGTGGATAATATTTATTTCACCCTTGATTGATTTTGCATAAACTCATTTTTATACATCATCAATCGTAGTTCGAGCGAATTTAAAACATGTCTCATAAAAAAGGAGGATGGTTGGCCGTAGTTATTAATGCTAGTAAAGATTCAGTTATGCAATCTCATCATATATTCTACCCAAACTAAACACCCCGTGGACCCTCAAGCAAGGTTCTTGCAAGAACAAGTTGGAAAAAGAACATATGCAGGACTGTTGAGGTAGCTTCTAGGAAGGTTGCCCGAAAACAAAGTTAGAAAAAAACCATAGTTGAAATGTATGGTGTGATCTATGACGAATCTATGACGAATGGTGAAGATAAGAAGTCATGTGATGAATGATGAAAGAGAACAAAAGAAATGATAATGGCTTTGGCTTTTGGTTGAATTTGGAATCTCTACTCACTGGCCGTTGGCATATAAACATCACATAAAGTGGGTGAAGGTTTAATGGAGGTGCTCCTTTTACAATTTGTGGGGTTGTAACTTGGTGTGGTGTGTTTGTGGATTTTCTTGATAAGTGCTTATCGCATATTTGAGGTCTTATTGTATAGTGTCGTTTGGGTGGTGCATTCTCACTGTTCATACAGTAGCTGCATCCAATGGATGGGGTGGGGGTTGAGGTTCGGGCGTTAATCGAGTTAAGTTTGATTCTAAGTTTGTTGAACTTGTTTTTTTAAATAAGTTTAAAAAATTCTTTAAATTTGATTTATTTAGAAAATGAGCCACGTCCGAGGTGGGCCGAGCTCGAACTAAACCTGAGTAATTCGACTATTAAATTGTTCAAGTTCGATGTGTTTAGAATACAAGTCGAGCTCGAGTTCAAGTTGAGCCTTTTAAACTCGTTTTTTTGTAAATGAGTCTAAAAAAATTGTTCAATTTCAAATTTTTAGAACATGAGTCGAATTCGAGTCAAATTCTATTTGTATTGAGTTCAGGGCGAGTCAGAATACGTTAACTTGATTAACGCCTTAGTTGAAGTTGTGGTCCGGACGAGTCACTCAAAATATGTAAGGGTTTAGATATCTGGACTCTGCGCGTTGAACCACTCGATCCAATAATAGCTTTTAGATTAAAAAAATATTATTTTTATTTGTTTAATATGCTTTTAAATGATTTGTAGGAATAAAAATAAATATTACAGAAAAAAAAAACTAGAGAAATGGTCTAGGCCTGAGGGAATGATGGTCCAGAGGCAGGACCTAGGCTAGCATTTTATGGGGCCGGCCCAAGAACTGGCCTAATCAGGTAATGATGGTCCAGAGGCAGAGCCTACACAATTAGTGATAGACTCGGCCTGTCCCCAGGCCCAATTAGTAAGTTGGGTTTATCTAGAAGAAGATTTGAACCAATGATCAAAATTTTATTTCAGTGTATTATTTCAATCACCTAAAAAACAAAAATTTTTAGACGTGTTTCGGAAATTTTTCGACCAATTTTGAAAATATAATAAAAAAAAAAAAAATTTCTAAAACATTGGTCGAAATATACAAAAATATCTTGAAATACTTTAAAACATTCTAAAATAATTATGCAAATGCAATGAAACATTACAAAACATCTCAAGACATTATGAAACACCTCGATATGTTAAAATTTTAATTTCATTGCTAATTTGTTTCGATTTCTTTTAAAACGAAAACGTTTCAGATGTTTGAACATCTCAATTTAATGGCAAAATTAAGATTTTACTATTTCTCTTAATGTTGGGGTTTAATTGCACTAGGGGTCCCCAAAGTATGAAATTTGTCACATTTTGGTCTCCATTGTTTCAATTGCATAATTTTGGTCTATGAAATATTGAATATGTTTTTATATGGTCCTTCAAGCAGATAATGACCAAATTGCTAACGATTTTTATCATAAATTTGTCATGTAATCTATAATAATAAGATAAAACCAATTTTATATTCATTTTCACTTCAAAATTTATTTTAATTTTAATTCATTTGGGAGAGCACAAGAACGACTCTGATTAAATCCGCTTTTAATTTAAAGGTTCAAATTTCATCTCAATTCTTCTGACCTAATCCAA